GTCGTGTAGGTATTTTGCATATTTCCAGACTTTCCTCAGTTACTTCCCTGAAAACCATAAGGCACACACACCTCTGAATGGGCAAGGCTGCCTCAGCATGGGTAGGTGGCTGCAAGCTCCTCTGTTGGCTCCTGGTAGCTATTTCTGCAAAGGGTCTTGTGAAGCTAAAAAATAGACTGAACTTGGGAAGCAATTGGTATTTCATACATTTTCGTATCAACAATGTTTGAATTTGGATTGCTTCGATTCTTTTTTATATTGTTTTTCTTCTGCTCACTGCTCTGAATACACTTTGGATCACTCTTTCTATCTTTTGCTCACTGCTCTTTGAATACTTGATGGGAAGCACACGGCCACTATTTCCCTGAATCTGAACCTTTGAATATGTTACTGTGGTTTCTATGTTACTTGCACAGAATTTTACTTCCCACTTTTTCTTTGTTTCTCTAAATAGTAACCGTTGGCAAGGAAACACATATGAAGCTGTGAATGATTTATTAGGAGTAAATTTATCAAGTCCTCATTCTGGGAGTATTTAGATATGGTTTATTCATGCAGAAAAAAGAAATACACAATTTGGGGGTTGGTACTGACTGATTACTTCAAACACTCAGTGGAAGCATTTTCTGGAAGTGGAGGGAGATAGTCTTATCTGTACTTTTCCTGTATTTATATTTCATTCCTTGGATTACAAAGGACTTAAAAAATTGGCAGTTTGATTTTAAGAATGAGAAAATGAAAGGAATCCCTTTGTTTTTGAGTCCAATGTGCAATCAAATACATGTTTCTGAAGAAGCCAGTGATCTATACATTATGACATAAAAAAAGTCACAGCAACATGAAGGAAAAAATAAGGTATTGTACATATAGATCTATGTGTAGCAACTTAAGCAATACTTGTAGGACAGGAAATAAAGAGGACAAGTAATCCATTAGAAATTATTATCCAACCTAAAAGGGCTCCAAGCCATTTTACATGATACTATGCTAACTTGGAAACCATTCCTAAATTTTAACTAATTAATGGAAGGTCATGAAGCAGTGTATGGGGACATAATCACTTTTTTCTTTTTTTTTAAGAGTTAAGATAGAAAAAGTCTCTGTACACAGAGTCATGTATTTGAGTACAGCAACTTGAAAACACCAGTGTGTGAAAGCTGACAAAAAAATTTACATGTTTTGAAGAGTTCTGCAGGCCGACAGACCAGAGTTGGAAGGTGATGAGGGGAAGAAAGTGATCTGATCTGTGGTATCTAATTATGTTTTTCAGAGACTTGTATGCAGTACTACTTCCTGTAAACTATTACTTAAAATCTAAACGCAGCAAACACAAGAGAACATAATGAGCTTTAAACACGTGTGAAACAGAACGTGCACACAGATCTATGGGGTACAAAGAGTTCATCCAGCCAGTTAATCAAACAGTACCTTGCCTTGCTCCCCAGATATGCACCCAGAAACCCTAAGGGTGAATGTTTCTCATGGGAGCTAGCTGGTCTGTGGAGGTCAACAGTGGGGTACAGTCCTAGAGCTAAACCTCACCAAGGCACTCAGCTTCCCAGGGTAGAAAGGTGTTATTTGTTTTCTTACCTCAGTCATAGTGCCATGTTCTTTAAAGAAATAACACAGTTTCTACAGCATGTACAAGCCTCACCTTCCTCACATTCATGCCTCAGCTGCTAACAGCACAGTTCACCTTAAAATTTACTCCATTCTCCTTTCAGCTGCTCACAATTGCTGCCTTCCACCCTCCAGCTCTGGGTAACTCTGAGCTGCCCCCTCAGCTTGCCCTGGCTTCCCAGGGGTAGGTACAGCTGCTCCCCCACTGCAGAGCAGCCTCTCACTGGCATTTTCATCCCATCAAGGGCATATCATCATTCTTAATCCTAACAACAGCTGAAGGTGGGCAGGGTCAGACAGGCAGCAGGGCCAAGGCAACTCCAAAGCACCGAAAGAGCTGGCCTGAGTTGGTGAGTTAGAAAGCTCGTTGTGGGAAGAGATTCATACCAGCTTTAGGCATTGCCCTTGGTGGTGGTCATCAGAAAAAGCCTTCTGGTGATGCTATCCTCTCTTCATTAGTTTCAAAAAGGCTGAGAATGCTAGCTTTTGGTTCACTGTAGGTATGAATTTACTAGAAGAAATAGCAACAGGGTGAGGGTGTAGCTGCCTCCATTCGCCCGTAGCTCCTGCAATTTGGCCTGATGAGAACCACATGTCCTCAAGCCCTGCAGCTCTACTCAGCGTCTAGATCCCCAAAACTGCATGCAGGGAGGTGGAGAGAAACTGCTGTCCAATGTGACAGCCAGGGAATTAGTGCCTCTTGCTGGTCTGTCCAAATACAGTGTCCCTGCCCCATGCCACAACCTACCCCCAAGGGACACCTCTGTCATGCAGCCGGGCACGATGGAGGGGGGCTCCTTGTTCACAGCAGGGCTGTGGCTGCTCCTGGGCTGGGAATTGCACCTAAGAGAGATGTCTAGCAGAGGTTGACGTAAACTGTATGATCAACCCCAAAGTGATAGAAGGAGAGAAATATGCAAGTATAATAGTAACATAATCCTACTAACTGCACTTTCTCTTGGGCTGGTAAGAGGACACCAATCAGACTAACCACTAAAAACCCATGGGGGTTTCATATATACAGAGTAAGTATATGTAATTGGGATTTACCTTGCTGGAAGTCTCACCCACTGCACATACATTTCATTTGCTTTAAGAGACCTAATTATTTCTCTATCTACAGTACAAAGAGACAGATTTTTAAGTGGGATAAAACTGACAATTTCTGTGAGTGTGAATTTCATGGAATTTATAAGCCACATTTAAACAATAAATTACATCTGGTTTATCATAGCTAGGAGTAAATATGAAACATATACCTCCTGAAGCAAGGGGAATACAAGTCTGCTTCCCTGCTCCTCCCAATTTAGGAAGTTTTTTTGACTTGATGCCTTAGTTCCATTTAAGTGCCAAGAACATGAAGTAATGTTGGGTTCTATTAATCTTGTTTTGGGGGGCATGACAGTTTTAATGGGAAAAGCTGATAAACATCAGTCTGTGAGTATGGGAGTGGGCTGTAACATAAATACTCTTTTCCTGAATGGTCAAAATGAAAACATGAATGCCCAAGTCTGAGAGTTTCTTAGCGTGAACAATGGTATGTGTATCCCTATATACATATATATTCATGCACATCCACATGCATTTTATACATTCCACAGTGTTAAGGGAATGTATTTTCTTAAGGAATCACACTGTGCAGTGTTTGTCCTTGTCTTAGCTGCATCCTGAACTAAAATTAAACTCCATCACCAGCACGAAGTTTTAACACTGAAATGATCCTGTTCTTGCCCTGATTGACAGGGCACACTTCATAAGGCTTAAAACCAACTTCCTGCAAGCCAGGCAGGGTGACTTGATAAGAAAGTGGAGTTTAGGGCAATTAAGTGCAATCTGAGCCATGAGAATATGTGTGCAGGCTGCAATTGTACAGCAGCTGTTTTCAATGACATTCCAGCCATACAATGAAGATTTTACAAACCACATTTATTTAAGGGTTGAATTTTCTGCTGTGGATTGATAATATGCTGTTTGGGGGACTGAGTGAGTTCAAACTGTGAATGGACATGGTGAGATGAATTAACATTAATGAACAGGAATCTGCTGCTCTTTGAGCAGGATGTTATGAGTGCAAATTGTTAGTGGAGCACCTGCATAAGCAGAACATCAAGATAGGAGAGGGTAAAGCATGAAATCTCATATTTGCTCTGGGACTTCAAAGTTTCTGTGAAAGTTCTATTTTAAAATACATTTGTATTTTTAACTTAGAAGTCCCTATGTCTGTATCTGAGTCTATATTTATAAATAAAATGTGTGCATGTGTATTTCTGTTTTGGGGTGAAAAAAGAAAATTGGGAGCTTCTGTCCAAACTTCACCAGCTTTGTTCATTTTGGTCTCAACTGTGACATTTTTAGGTGTAGCTGCAGGAGTTCATATAGTAGACTTTGTGTCTCCCAAGAGTTCACTAGCCATTGCAATTAAACAGGTATTAGTAGCACTGGTGAAACACATTTTAGGAAACCAGAAGTGAATAATGCTGCTGGTAAATCCATTTATTTTCTCTTCACTTTGTGTTTTCTTGAATCTTCTATTGAAAATTCATGCAATTTAATTTCTTTCTGGTAGGAAAGACCCAAGTAACGTGAAGAAAACCTACAGAAAACTCCTGTCTCTTATAGCTGTAATACCTTTTTTTTTTTTTATGCCAGTGCTCTATGTCTTTTATGAATGCCTAGTGGGCAGTAATAGGAGTACCTCTGGGAAACACAAGCATTTGGGTTTTAAACAAGATAGAAAATAATATGTTTTGCGTTGTGCTAGAGAAACAAAGGAAATGCAAAGGTTGTGGGTGTATTTAGTGTTTCTATCCTCAGCCTTTGTTTTGTAAGAACAAGAGCAGAGAATTGAAGTAAACAAAATATTTGGACCTGATCCTGCAATTCCTACATGGGCAAAATTCCCAATAGTCTCAAGGGAAGTTTTGTTTTTGTTGGGAAAGCCGGATTTGGGCCCATTGTTTCCAGTTAGGAACCAGACTTGTGTTTATTATCTCATGATAGACATCTTGTGTGCTTTACAACTCAGATTCCTCAGCTGGAGTCCCTGAATCTGGAAGTGTTAGCGAGTGCCTCACTTTCTGTGTCCTTCAAGTGTAGCTAAAATCCCAGATTATTTAACAAATCACTTTCTTCTGTAATCTTATGTTTAGTTTCCTGTGACACTCCTGCCTTGCTCCTCCCATTGCATTTTTAATCCTTGACTTTTGGCTTTGCATGTGCATTATAAGAATGGTAGTACTTTCTGCCTGCTTTCCTTTGATACTATGATTATACAAGATAAAGAGCAATCTGTGGATAGTAGGCCCAGTGCCTGCCAGTATGAGATTGGCAAGTCATCCAGGATAAATTTAGGACCGATGGCTATGCAGTCAATCAGTGACCTGTCTGTGAAAGCATCCTTGTTTGTGATCTGGAGGATTTTACCTGGGGATCCTTTTCCTTCTCTGGAGGGTTTTTATAGAGAAAAGTAAAAAAAATAAAATATTGGTTGCCAAGAGAACTTCAGAGATTATCCACGCTGAGATCCCTGCCCTACAGCAGCATCAAGTATAGTTAAGTTCTTCCTCATAAAGGATTTTCTGTTGCATTAAGATATTGTCAATATTACAGATGGCTTGTGTAACTCTGTTTGCAGATTGCTGATTTTGGACTCTCCAACCTTTATCACAAGGACAAGTTTCTGCAGACCTTTTGTGGAAGCCCACTGTATGCTTCCCCTGAAATAGTTAATGGACGACCTTACAGAGGCCCAGAGGTAAGAAGGGTCAGCTTTTCTGTGGGAATGTCTTCGGTGATAATGTTCTTGAGGACTAGTCTTAATGCACATGTAGGTTCACTTGGGTGTCGCCCATACTGAAAGTTCTCAAGCTGCCTTCATTTGCTTTCATTTACTTTGCCTGTGGTTAGTCAGATGTTAGATACTGGTTTGCCTATCAGTAGGCACAGCAGGAGGTGATGCTGCTCTTGTGGTGCTAATGGTGGGCAGAAGGGTGGAGATCAGTTTTCCTGGGCTTCACATACATTGTCTCTGTATTTCAGGTTGACAGCTGGGCACTTGGTGTATTGCTTTACACTCTGGTTTATGGAACAATGCCCTTTGATGGCTTTGATCACAAAAATCTCATCAGGCAGATCAGCAGTGGAGAATATCGGGAGCCAACACAGACCTCAGGTATAAAAAAGGAGTGAGGGCAATATATTGAACTGACGAGTTCAGAATGGAGGGTTTGTCTGGCCCCTTCCAACATATTTGGGTGTCATATTAGAATGATGAAGAAAAACAATATCTCATTCCCCTACTGACTTCATCTGCTATCAATTCCCATCTGAGTACACCATTTACCAAAACCCTTTTTGAAATGAATGTTTTATAGCAGATAGATTTTATTGCCTTGGGGAAGCTGTAATGGGCTCTTTTAACTGGGTATATGACAGTGAAAGTTCTGTTAGCTATTGCAAGTGGAATTGTTCAGACAAGCTGTAAACTGATACAACAAACTGGTATAGATCAGTCCTCTAACTACACTGTGTATATCACAAGCAGAGAGACGATGAATGGTCAGAGTGATGCAGTCTCTTACCCAGGAAGGCAGGCCAAAGTCTGAATTAATGTCACTAAGTTCACATTTACTTCTTCTTAGAGAATACATGAAACAGTCACCTACATCATCTAAGTCTGGGCCACTGGATTCCTCCCAGCTCTAAACATCTATGTGTGTATTATATTTAAATGAATATTTATCTTGTATAATTTGTTTGCCATCCCTTTCAGTATTCTGCCTTCTTGCTCTCTTTATGAAAATATACTTTTAAAATACACGGAAGACTACACTGTTATGGAAAAAGTAAATACAAAAGCAATAATGTGTAGATAATTTAAAATATCCCAGTTCCCCTTTGTTTTTCTCTAAGTTTTGTAATTGGAGTTCATAGTTTGGTGAGTTCCTTCCATAATATTGGAACTATTCACTGGCTAATACAGTAAAAATATTAATTTCTTTGATAATCCAGTGTACATTTCCAAGAGTGAATCGTATTTTTCTGCTAAGAAGTTGTTCTCAAATGCATAACAGTGACTGATGGCCAACGCATTTCCTCCTTTCACTTCTTCTGTAGTAAGAAGTATTATTCTTGCTTATTTGATTAGCTCCACGCTTCCATTTTAAACTGAGAAAACCAGAAGAGCCTGTGTTCTAAGTGTGTTGTGTTCTGTTCTTTTTCCATAGATGCTCGTGGACTTATCAGATGGATGCTGATGGTGAACCCTGAACGCCGAGCAACCATTGAAGACATTGCCAACCACTGGTGGGTTAATTGGGGCTACAAGAGTAGTGTTTGTGACTGTGATGCCATGAGGGACTCCGAGTCCCCATTGCTGGCAAGGTTTATTGATTGGCATCACCGATCTACTGGCCTCCAACCAGAGACCGATACCAAAGTGAAGTGCCTTTCTAAGCCCAAAGGTCCTGAAGTTACACTAGAGAGACAAAGATCTCTGAAAAAGTCTAAAAAGGAAAATGATATTGCACAGTCCATCCAGGAGGGAGGAGCTGAAAATGCGTCCAAACCCACCTCCAAGAGACCCAAAGGCATCCTAAAGAAAAGGAGCAACAGTGAACATCGATCTCACAGTGCAGGTTTTATTGAAGGAGTGGTCAGCCCAGTGTTACCTTCTGCATTTAAGCTGGAGCAAGAGTTGTGTAGGACTGGAGTAGCCATCAAAAGTGTTGTGGAGGCAGAGGTAGTGGGCAAATATGGCACTAAGCAGTCTTCACTAATGCCAAAAAAAGGAATCTTGAAGAAGACTCAGCAAAGGGAATCCGGCTATTACTCCTCTCCAGAACGAAGCGAATCTTCTGAACTCTTGGACAATAACGATGAGACTGTAAACAGTGACGTTTCTCTGGGGGTCACAGAGCCATCCAGAAATGGGTCTTACACCCATTCCTGCAGGCGTAAGGGCATCTTGAAGCATAACAGCAAATATTCTACCAGCAGCACTGAATCCACTTTGATTAGCCCCGACACACCAACGCTGGAGGCCATGGAAGAAGTGGTCCTGCCTGGAGATGCATTACCTCGAAGTTACAGTCGCCCTTCCAGCGTCATTAGTGATGACAGTATTTTGTCCAGTGACTCCTTTGATTTACTGGATTTGCAAGAGAACAGGCCAAACAGACAGAGGATACGGAGCTGTGTCTCTGCTGAAAACTTCCTCCAGATCCAAGACTTTGAAGGACTTCAGAACCGCTCACGGCCACAGTATCTAAAGCGTTATCGCAACCGCCTAGGGGACAGCAGTTTTTCCCTACTTACAGACATGGATGATGTGACTCAGGTCTACAAGAAAGCCCTAGAGATCTGCAACAAGCTCAACTAGCAGAGCGAAGAGGGAAAGGGAGGGAAGGGAGTTTTTCTGTGTACCTTTATGATGGAGTAAGCCAGGTCACTGATTTGCTGACAATTGTAGGTTTGCTTCAAAGGAGTTGACTGTACCTACCTAGCTGAATTCCTCATAAAGAAGCCCCAAAGCAATCTCACACTTCTCTAATTTTGTGTCCTCAAAATATTACCTGTCTGTCCAGAGAAAAACCTTTGGTCTTTGTATACGTGATGAAAGCATGTCAGGATCTAGCTGACAAAGGCATCAAGACTTGGTGGCTTGAAGTCAAAGCTAGACAGAATTAAAACTGGAAGTGAGGGACACAGATTTTGAGAGGTTTGACAGCTTTGATAAAGATTAGCTTTACCAAGAGATGAGCTGAACTCTTCAAGTAAGATTTGGATGTCTTTTAGAAAGAGAGCCTTTATTTCCCCCTGAAGTTGTTCATCTGGGCACAGTCATTGCACATTGGGAATCTTTGGCTTACATTATGCAGGAGGCCAAGCTTGTTGGTTAGTGTGGATCCTTCCAGCAGGGTGACCTGAGAGGTTCTGAATATGTTCTGGGTCAGGTAATGTGAGACTCATCCCAGAATAATCTCACAAGGTGTATGTGGACAAGCAGTGGAGCAGGCATTGCTCTTCAGTAAGCAGGAGAGCCTAAAGTTGTTTCCAGCTACCACTTCTAGCAGCAAAAACAAAGTCACAGAAATTATAATGAGAACTGGAAGGAATGGATGTTATCAGCAGCTAAATGAACTTTTAAGGCGTTTCAGCCTGGGTGTTCAACTTGTGACTCTCTCAAAATGGCCAGTCAGATGAATGCCCAGACAAAGATGGAACTAACAAAGGTTCTCAAGGATTAACTGACCCTCAAATCTAGAGTTCAGTTGATGTCAGCAAATGGTACTACCTTGCTGTTAGCTTGTAGTATTTGAGGGTGACAGGTAGTTTGTGACCAGAATGTTAGGTAAGAGAAAGGTTGTAGCATGTAGGAAAGGGATAGAGGTCAGAAAGTTAGTGGGAAGATGCCTTTCTCCAAATGAAAATGTTTCTAGGTAGGTAGTAATGGAGCAGAAAGAATTGAGCGATTAAATGATAGTGGTAGATTTGATAACAGGGTTAGCGTAAAAATGCAGGCCTCTCTATATGTAATGTAGCTGGTACTGCATGTGCAGTGATACCAGTTTGAAAAAACCCAGGAAGGAGATGCGTTTGTGTTCTCAGACATACCTAAATATCCAGACTGAGGGCTTCAACTCCCATAAAGGTACCACATGGGTCTACTGGATTACCTGAATGTAAGCCTAAGTCAGAAAGGCACTGTGTGTTTGACAGGCCTGGGCAAACTGGAATCTTCAGGCCCATTTCAGTCTCATTTCCATGAGCACATAGCCCCTGGCTTCCTTGGAGGTGCACTGGTGCGAATAAGGGGCAAGTTTCAGCCAACAATGTTAAATGATCCACAGCTGCAAAATTTACATCTACACACGTACCCAGAGCAGAAGAGCATGGGGCAAGCTCTGTTTTCACTTCTACCCTGTAACTGGAACTGAAAGCAGAATTTGGCTCCCAAGTCCTAGAGATGGTGCAGAAATGGAATAGAGTTCCTCTGGGTATTCCCTGGGGATTGGGGATAACTCCATAAATCATTGGCATCTGGGGCGGGGAGCTCTTTCACTTGCAGATTTGTCATTTGGTTTCTCATGGTATTTAAATCTGCTGGTTCCTTCTAAAAACCAACTGGGCTGCCCAGCATAAAGATGAATGAGCTTGAATTCACTAAATCAGTTAATCTGCCTCTATCTATGGAGATCCTTTACTTATTGTGAAACACTGGACCAAATTTGGCCCTGGAGTGAACAGCATCAGTACCATGAAATCTGTGAGAGGTGTGTGCTCTCAAGCAGTCAAGTGAAATTTATCTCACTGTCCCATTTGCTCAGGAAGGGCAACTGCAGGTCATTTCTCTACAGATATGTACTTCTCTGTATGATACTCAGCGTCCCATCTTCTCAGAGGCCCTGCATGTGCTGTTCTAGTCCATCCCAAATCAACACCCCATTTTGCAGTGTACTGAGTTAACAAGTTTGCTGTGGTGAATTTCAAAACAACTCAATATAGTCCTCATGGCCTTGTTGAAACAGGGATGTTCTTTGTGGCCATGGCTTTTAACTCATGCCCTGGAACGTAAGAGCCAGATCCTCAGCTGGTGTAAGTCAGTGCTGTCCTGCTGACATGATGGAATATCCCTTCAGTGGGGCTATGCTGACTGACACCTTCCCTGCAGATCTGGCACTAAACCTCGGGTGGATTTATAGAGGTTTCAGGATGAAGGGAAGGTAACTCAGCTGGCTGTGGCAGGGAAGTGAGGAGCACCCCTAAGGCTCGTATCTCATGAGGCTTTAGCCCAGGCCTGCTTCCTTGTGTACAAATGTGAATGAGTGGGTGACTGCTTGCTGCCAAACTGGAAATGTTTTGTAGGGATTTACTGGCATGTTACTGGCATGTTACATGTTTACTGGCATGTTATCATTCCTAGAAGAGAAGAAAAAAAAACAAACTTGACTGCACATTGTTATTATTAGTGTTGTGATTTTTATTTAATTTTTTTTGTAATACAAAGTTGACTTTTTTATTTGAATTTGTCTTTCTTTTTATTTATTGGTCTGAAAGCCATTTCAAAGGTATAATAATATATTTGGTGTAATTTAATTGGTGCAACATTATTTTACAGCTCCGGCCAAAATTGTTTGGTGTTATTTTTCAGTTTTTTGTTTTTTTCTCCCAATCCTTGGTTGGTTTGAGCTCTACGAGGCACACAGGGGAAAACGCTGGATAATCACCCAAAGTGTTTGTATTTTTAATCTGATACTGTTTTTTATTAAATAAAATGAAATTAATGTCATTGTGAAGAGTCTCTCTCCCTTTTCTTTTTCACTGTACATCAGCATAAGCCGAGGCCAAATGGTAATGAACTTGTCATGCAGAAATACAGCAGCATCTCAGCACATTGTACCAAGTTGGTTATGCAAAGCTTCTTGGCTCGTTTGTGCATTTGAATATAATGTGGGTGGCCACAGAGACTCCCTTGCTATGAAGCATTTGGCACTGCAACACACCCAGAGCTTTCAGCTCTAGAAACGTTTGGTGGAGAAGAACAGCTGACTGGGGCTTCTCTGCTGGAGGTGAATGAGGTTTGTGGGCCAAGTGTGCTGCAAGTGAGTTGGAGCAGCCTGGCTGACCAGACATGGCCCAATGCATTATAGCCCAGAGACAGATGGACATGGTCCTTTCCCCTCTCTGATGGGAAGGACAGTTTATTAACAATTTTCATGTTTCCAATGATTTATAGAATTTCGGGCTTGTCTGGGCAAAAAAGATTGGTGACCATCTGCAGATATCAAACGTGGGATGGTTTCAGATGGCTTTGAGCTGCTAATATAGTTGGCTGGTAAGAGGGAAAAAGGGAGTCAGGTTTCATTTTTTTGGAGTCCTCTTGATAATCAGAAGGCTTTAGATAATTTTTCTTGGAAAATGGGGGGTGATCATAAGGGAAACTGGGTGTTAGGTATGGCATGTGAGCTGGGGACTTCTTGAAATATAGGAAATGGTTGGCAATGTCCTCATACTGGCTCTGAGCAAGACACCATTAAACTTCAGCCTTGATGCAGCCAGATCTGTAGTATATATTCTGCTTTTTAAATTACAGGTGGGTTGGATTAGGATCCAAGGTTTGAATATCAAGCAAAAAAAAGGCTTTCATTTTTCTAATTTTCCTAATTCATATTCTCTCTCTTGAACTTTTTAAAGCAAGAAGCCATGGCTGTAGGTGCTAGATTTGTTCATCTTCACCACTTAACAACTAGTGGTAATAAAGGGAAAAAGCCAATGATGCAGAAAGGCAAACAGCCTCTAATGCATTACAAAGCAAATGATTAGCTGCTGCATGCTAACTGAGTCAGAAACTGTAAGGCATATATTCAAAGTCAGTACACACGTTCTTGTACCTGAGGTGAATAAGGTCTAACTCTGTGGGTGCCAGGTGGTGGAAAATGTAATGCAAGTCTCTTCTGCAAAAGCTATTAAGAAATTTTTGTGTTTGTTTTTTTTCTTGTGTTGTTTTGTTTTTTCAAACATCTTAAGAAAAAAAGTGAAGTTGATGGCAGAACGTTTGTTTGTTGTTTTTTTTTTTTAAATAATGACTTTTAGAAAGGAAGTTCAGGATGGCTGGGTATGGTGTGTGTACATGGCAAGCACCGAGATGTAGTTATGTACATGTTTGTACAGCTCGTGGAGTGCATAATTCCGGGGTGGGAGGTGGGTGGCTAATTTTCTTATTTATTAAAGGAGATAAGCATACAGCGATAGGCCTTAGCTGAAGTTACATCTGAAGTGTGTAGCCAGTTCTGGTCTTTCATGCTTGCTCCCTGGGGATGCCAGTGTTAGTAATCACTGAAGTTTTATGAATCAGGCAAGACAAGAGAAAGGAGGCAAGACAGGGGCACTGGGAGCCACACAGTCAAGTGACAAAAGCAATAGTGTTTGTTTTGTTTTAACAGACACAAATAATCTTGTCCATTATAACTCTTCCTTTAACTCTAAAAGTCAACAATCTCAACTTCCAGCCCTGCAAAGCCTGCCCGTGTGCCTAGCATGATAATATCAGGGATCCTTCTCACTCCTGTGGCAGGCTTGCTGAAGTCCAGGGTCAGCTCATGTGAGCAGCACTGCTGATGCTGAGCGACACTTCCACGTGTCAGTAGAGCTCTTGGAGGCCAGCACAAAATCTTGCAGGAGAGCTTGACACTGCTCCTTGAAGCTCACCAGCCCTGGGGCACTGGTGCAGACGGAGAGGACTTTGTGCCAAAACAGCAGGAGGCAGTTCTTTTTCAGTGCTGTCACAGCCTTTGAGGTGGTGCCCAAAGACACCCCGTGGTGCTGGCAAGAGAAGCAAAATTCAGAGCGAAGTGATAGCAATTTCTAGCCATAGACATT